GCCTGGATTGGTATCTAATGCTGGCATAAAGCGAAAGAGTGAAAATCTTGGGGGCCTTGATACCCAACAATATGGAAGGGGGAAACGAGCAAGAGAGGTGGGTTTGTTATACATGTTTTTCGCAGAATGTGTTCATGCTCAATGCCATAGCCTGCCCTTTATAAGCATTGCTTTTTTTGTTCCTAAGTAATTGATTGATACTTGAATATGTATGATCTTGTCCTTTCGTTTTAATATATTTCTTGATCTTTTACTTATTTAGGTGCGCAACTATGAAGAGCAATGGTCAGAGGAAGAATTCGAAAAGATGTGTCAAGTTGACTCCCCTGGATCCCCTAAAGTGAAGGAAGAAGTGATGGAAAAGAGCTTGCCAACAGTTGTGAGTGGGTCTATTATGGCCATTGGTGAAACAGAAGCACCAGCACCAGCACCAATCAAACTGCCTCAACAACCTTCTGTGGAGCCTCCAACACAACAAAGCAAAGAGGTTACACCACCATCTAAACGGGGCCGAGGAAGGCCTAAAAGAGTGACAACGGTAGTCACTCCATCGCCGATGGTTCTTCCAGTTCCGTCTGGTGCCAGTAATGTTGATGTGGTAAAGGTTTCTAGCAGTCCAACAGTATCGAGTCCTGATTCCTTATCAACTTCTTCTACTGTAAAGAGTATAACTGGAACCAGCCATCAATTTGGTGTATTTATTCCTCCTAGCTCCCAGTCGATTTCTCCCCTCTCTTCTATGGTTCCTGTCTCTCAGTCTATTGCTATACCTTGCCCTTCCCCATCTGTGCAAGTCAAAGGAAGAGGTCGAAAGACTCAGAGTGGGGCAGAAATGCCTCGGCGTAGAGGGAAGAAACAAAGTACAACACCACCAACTGTTCCAGTTCTTCCTGCACCAGCTGGAACAGGCACAGAATTGGGTTCACAGAGAGGAGTGGTGTCCAGTTCCTCATCAGCCTCTGCTCCCGATTCTGTTTCTGCCTCTCCTACTGTAAAGGATATTAGTAAGGTGGCTGAACCAATTTCCCCCATTGTTCTGGTTCCTCCTGCTCCTTCTGGAACCAGCAAAATGGATATCGGATCACAGAGGGGACCAGTTTTCTGCTCTCCTGTGGTCTCTGCTACTTCTGCTATGACTGGAATCTGTGGAACTGTGGATGCTCTTGGTTTAGGTAATGCTTCTAGCTCTAAGCCAATCCCTCCATTACCTTCTGTCGCCCATGGCGCTCAATCTATACTTCCTTCTCATTCTGTTCCTGAGCAAGTTGAAATACAAGGAAGTAAAGGTCAAAGTAGAGTTGTGGCACCAAGCCGAAGGGGTAAGAGACAGGATCCTGTAACCCCTGTTATTCCTCCTGATGTTTTAAGTAATCAGCATCCCCAATCAAATGAACCACCACAGAAGAAATCAAGGGTATCAGGGGTGAGAAAGGCCATTACCACAAGAAGTATGCGAGATAATGAAGATCAGAAACTGACAAATGTCATCCATGCACAATTATGTGAAGCCCCTAACCCTGATGGTCTAGCTGGTGAAAATTCAAATTTAACTGAGAAATCAGATATTTCAGTCCACAACACGCAGCAAACGAGTACATCAGCAACAAATAATGTTGCATCCTGGTCCCAAGAAAAGAAGTCTGCCTATTCGGAAAATAAAGTTGATGCCTCACTGGAAATAAAGAATGGAAAAATCTCTACTGAAAATGAAGCATCTCAAAGTCTTGCAGATCTTACTGTTGAACAAGTCCATGCTGCTGATGCAAAAGTTTTTACTCCTGGGATAAACAAGGTTTCACATGAAACTCCCTCAACAGAACCTAAAATTGACGGGGTTTTAGGAAGCAGCAGAGAAGATGCCCCTGCTTTAACTGCATCAAATAATACGTTCATTGAGGTTACAGTGAAACAAAACTTGGATGATAAAACCTCTCTGGCTTCATCAACTTCAGGAAGGACTCCAGTTTGTGATTTTCCTGTTGAGAAGTGTGGAGGTCATTTTGAGAAGGAAGGTGGTGGAAATGCAGAAGAGGAGAAAACTCATGTGATGGGCAAATCTGTTGCTCCAAAGCCCGTGGTTTGTGAACCTGAGAGCAAAGAAACTGATAAAGAACATTGTCACGACAAGTGTGGAGAGAATATTGAAGCTCAGAAACTGACTGATATAGCTCAGGTACAGGCATGTCAAGTCCATATCTCTGATGGTTTTACTGGTCCAGATTCTAAATCAATTAAGCAATCAGATTATTCTCTACAAAACAAGCAGGAAACAAATCCATTGGCAGCAATTGATTTCGCATTTATGTCCCTGGGAAAGAAGTCTACGCATGTAGAAGTCCAAGAAGTTGATGCAACAACAAAATCACAGGATAGAATTTTGTCTACAGAAATTGAGACTTCTCAAAGTTGTGTGGAAGTTGTCTCAGAACAAGTATATACGGCTGACATAAAAGATGCTGCTGCTGTAATAAAGGAGGTTCCTTGTGAAACTTCCTCGTCAGAAGCTGTTATTGATGAGTCTTCTAGGAGTGAAGGTGGGGATGCCCCAAATTTTCCGGTCTCAAGTAACACCTTAATTGAAGTGACTGTGAACCAAAGTTTGAATAATAAAGCCGATCCATCTTTGTCAACTTTGGGATCTAATCCAGTTTGTGATCTTCTGATGTGTCAAAGTCAATCTGAGATGGAAGATGGTGAAAGGGTGGAAGATGAGAAAAATTCTGTCATGGGTGAACCCATTGCTCCCAAGCCCAATCTTAGTCGATCTGAGGGCCAAACAACTGACAAGAGCCAGTGCAATGAGGAGAAAAATCCTGTTATGGATGAATCTGTTGGTCCCAAGCCACAGTTTAGTGAATCGGAGGGCCAAAGGACTGACAAGAGCCATTGCAATGAGAAGGGCGGAGAGGATGAAGCTGAGAAACTGGAAGACATTGTCCAGGCACAGGCATGTGAGGTCCATGCCCCTGCTGGCTCTGCTAGGCAGGATTCAAAGTCAAGTGAGCTATCAGATTATCATGCTCAATGCAGACAGGAAGCAACCTCAGGAGCTGTAACAGATGCTGCAGCCATCTCCCTGATTGAGGAGCCTGCCTATTTAGAGGTCCAAGTCAATGCACCAGTGATATCAAAGGATGGAAATCTCTCTACAGAAAGTGAGGTTTCTCAAACTTGTGAAGATCTGGCCACAGAACAAAGTAATACTGGTGATCTTACTCCTGCAATAACAGAGGCTCCATGTGAAGCTCCCTTGTCAGAAACAAAAATTAACGAGTCTTTAACGACTGAAGGTAGAGTGGTCCAAGCGGTACCTTTACCTAGTAACACCACCATTGAGGTAACTGCAAACCAAAGTTCTGATAATGAGATACATTCAGGTTTATCAACCTCAGAAATGGCTCCAGTTTGTGTTCTTCCAGTTGAAAAGTGTGAAAGTCAATCTGGGAAGGAAGGTGCTAGGGTTCTTCCAAATATTGTTCTGGATAAATCCGGTTCTCCGAAGCCCGATATTTGTGAACTTGAGAGTGAAAGGAAAGATGTTGTCTCTGTTTTGGACATTGATGATTCAAAGCAGCTTATTGACGAGTCTATTGGCTGTGGCAGTGACACTGCCCGGGATGTACCTATTTCAAGCAAGAGCTTGATTGAGGTCATGGAGCCGAAATGTTCAACTTTGTCAACTTCGGAAACAGGCTCCAGTTTTTGAAATTTCAGTGGACAGGTCTGAGGATCAATCTGGGAAAGTAGATTTGGAAAAGCAAGAAAATGTAGACCCTGTTCTGGACTAGACACTTTCTGGGGGACCTGCGGTTGATCAAAGTTCCGGGCAAAATTCCATCTCATCTTCATCAACTTTGGAAACAGCAGCACCATCTTTGGACATTCCAATGGACAAGTCTGATAATCAATCTGAGAAAGAAGATACAAAAGAATAATGTTTGATGCTTCTTGATCGAAGTACCAAAGCATCAAACATTAGGTTTGTAATGGGAATGTGTACTACAGCAGATGCAAAAACTACTAGAGCTTGTAAAAAGCTCTGATACATTAATGGCTTTCTGATACATTAATTATGTGCAACCTTGTTAAAATTAGGGCGAACTCCCTGCTTTTTTAATGTTTGTAATGCAGGTCTTTTGATGAACTCTCTGCCTTATTTAAACCATGCCTTCGATTTGAGCAAGGGATTTCTGAGAAAATTCCCAAAGTTTCTTTTGTCCTAAATTAACCCCCCCCCCCCCCCCCCCCCCCCCGGGTCGGATAATACCACTTTTCAAGGTTACTAGTTATAACTATCCACGATGAACCGGAACATTTCACGACAACCGATTGTATCAATCAGGAATAATCTCAATTAATTATAATTTTACCAAAGTTATAACTTGATTTTTTGAAGTTATATTTTTTATGATCTGTTATAACATTTTAAAATCGATCACAATTTTTTCAGTTGTAAATTACACTCTGAAAATGTAATATAAGGAATAATTGGATCTTGCAACATTCTCGCTCATTACTACTTCAAATTATTTGGATGAGAGTTGAGAATCGGATTGCAAATATTGATCTTATATCAATTGAATCGGACTCAAAATTAGTGTGTTGGTGTTGATATGATTAGAAAATCATTTACTTAATTTTATGGACCACATTAATGAGCAAGTCATGTTAATAACATATTATTCCAAATGATTAAATAGATAATTTGAATTAAAATTAATTTATGCTCAATACAATTTCACATGATACTAGTCTAATACGAACATAGTCGCGGGTCAGCCCAAGACCTATCCCAACCCAGAAAGCTATCTCATCCTTTTTTAATCCTAACTCACTCCCGTAACCAAACACTCTCAAACTCATCCACAAACCCTAGACACTCTCTCCTCGTATAAAAACCCCTCTTTCCCCATCCAGGGTTTCACTCAGTTCAACCTCAAGCTCTCATTTCTCTCGTATCTCTTCAAAACCCTACCTATAATATTACCGAACAACCAACCATGGCTGAGAGAGGCGGAGACCGCGGTGGCTTTGGTAGAGGCTTCGGAGGCAGAGGGCGTGGCGGAGACAGAGGCGGCAGAGGAGACCGTGGCGGCAGAGGAGGCCGCCGTGGCCGAGGCCGCCGCGAAGCCGACGAAGAAAAATGGGTCCCAGTTACCAAGCTCGGCCGGTTGGTCAAGGACGGTAAGATCAGATCCCTAGAGCAAATTTACCTCCACTCACTCCCGATCAAAGAGCACCAAATTATCGACACTCTGGTAGGACCATCTCTCAAGGACGAGGTCATGAAGATCATGCCGGTCCAGAAACAAACCCGGGCCGGTCAACGTACCCGGTTCAAGGCTTTCGTCGTGGTCGGTGACGGAAATGGCCATGTAGGGTTGGGGGTGAAGTGTTCGAAAGAGGTGGCGACGGCGATTAGGGGATCGATAATTCTGGCGAAGCTGTCCGTGATTCCGGTGAGGAGAGGGTATTGGGGGAATAAGATTGGGAAGCCTCATACAGTGCCTTGTAAGGTCACCGGAAAATGTGGGTCCGTCACCGTCCGGATGGTGCCTGCTCCCAGAGGTGCCGGGATTGTGGCGGCGCGTGTACCCAAGAAGGTGCTGCAGTTTGCTGGGATTGAGGATGTTTTCACTTCGTCTCGTGGCTCCACCAAGACTCTTGGAAATTTCGTCAAGGTTTGATTGATCTACCCTCTTTACCTGAATATTGATACCTTAAATCCCAGGAATTAGTTGTAATTAAGAATTGCCTGCATGTTAGAGCATATCTCTAGTATAACTGGTAGCATGCATATATTGTTGATTTTTATTTTGATTATTATTGTTCTCTTGAAGTCCTCATAAGTATTCATCAAAAGTTCTCTCATGCTTTTGTAATGCTGGGTTTTTATTGAGCACTTTTGGAACTTCACTGTGACTGATAATTGTTATGTATTCAGGTGTATAATTAGTGTGGATGGATATTTGGAGGCCCACTTATTATCCAATGACTATGATTTCTATAGCACTTGAAAGTAAAGATCAATCCACCACAATAGTGCTAAAATGATTCGTCTCCATTGCCCCTCTTTCCCCGGGGGAAAACATATGATTCTGTTGTCTAAATGTTTGGACTACAAGGATATCATAATTACAACAAAACTATTTGTTAAGAAATTCTAGAAACACTTGTTATGTTTTCATAGCATGCTTTTAGCTGTACAATATTCTCTGATTTATCGGTGGAAAATATGATTAAATTGCCACCAAAAGAAACATGAAAGTTCCCGTCTCTTGTCAAATGCAAAACATTTTGGGATCATTCACACGTCAGTGTCACGAATTGTTATGAATTCAGACGGGCATATATTTATCTATGTATTCTTTTGCATGTGTTTTTGAATTGGGTTGTTAACTAGGGTAGGGTATTAATTTGTTGGAAAGACATACTTTTTTTGTTGAACATGGAATCTTGAGTGTGATTCTGTGCATGTATGTGGATTTAGGTGTGGGTGGTCAACTGGTCATTATGGAAATTCTTTACATTCATATTGGTTTTTTACGGCATCTAAATACAGATCGAAGTGTTTTACTGGTGTTTGTATCTAATGTCATGTCTGTTATCACTTTTTCTCTTGAAATAGTGGGGATATAACTGTGATTTATGTGCATCTTGATATTTATAAAAGTTGTTAGTTTGAGCTGGGAAGCTGAAATCTGATTGCCTATCATGTCAGATTTTCATTTTTTTTGGCTGTTGGAGAATTTTATTATTTTTTGTTAATTTAAGTGAACATACCTTCTGTGCACACACGATATATAGTTCAAAGAAAAAGTAGGAAAATGTAAAAGTAATTTTACATTCTTCAATTGTTGATATGCATATCTTTTTCCATGCCATAGTATTGTATGAACTTCAATCTTTTTGAGTGCCCAGTTACATTTTCTTTATCAGAAAAAAGTAGAAGCTGTTCAGTTTTGATTTGACGATTAAGAAATGATGTGGTTAGTACTTGACTTGCCCCAGTTCATGCGGCTATGAGCAGAAATCAATAAGGTAAAAGATGCGGTGACTAACCAAAATTTAGGAGTGAAGAACCATGGAACTGTCTAGATGGAATTCTAGAAGATGACTGTATATTAAGGGCAGCTTGTTGTTCTGTAGGATTTAGAGATGTAAGTGGATGTCTAATGCATTTGATCTGTGCAGGCAACTTTTGATTGTCTGCTGAAGACTTATGGGTTCCTTACTCCAGACTTTTGGAGCGAGACTCGCTTCACAAAATCTCCATTCCAAGAGCACACAGATCTGTTGGCAAAGCCGACTAACAAGATTGTTTTCAATGATGATGCTGCTGAGAGGATTGAGCCTTGATATGTGTTCTAGGTTTTAATAATAGTGCGAAGTATGTTTTGCTAGGACTTTCCATCAAAGAACTCAGATTGTTTGAATTTAATCCTCTCTTTCTAGGGATGTTTTGTTGCTATCATTTTCGGACATGTTCAGATGGTTCTTTAAGATTTGGACTAAAATGTTTATGCTTGCTTATTTTTAAGGAATGAGAGTTTTGTATGGGTTGAAATGTTTGTTGCAAGTTTCTAGGAAACATTATTTGGATGCCCTCCTCGCCCGATTTTGTTGGCTGCAATACTTCAGTGGACATAACTATTTCATTGTTATTTCTGCTTGTCAATAGACTCCATGCACATCCCTACTGGAAAAATCTGCCAAACATCAGTGATCCATGGACAGTGAAAATTGATGTTACATAGTTTCCTCGTCTACCCAACAAATTGGGCATGCAGAGGATTGCAACATTTTTCTTTCCAGAGATTCCATTTAGTACCGAGTTCCTATGATATCTTTCACATGAAAATTCTGACAGTTGGAGAAGTCAGCAGCTTCCATATAAATCCTTAGAGGTCCTCTGGTACCAGAAAATCAAAGGACATCCTTGATTAATCTCTTCTTGATTTAGTCGATGGAGGTTGGTTATTCACGTTGGAATTAAAGTATTTATGAATAATTTGTCTTTTATGGCCTGATTTTAAGGGATTGTTAAGATTTAAACTCATGAAATTTAAGTTTACAGTTTATTTTTGTTATCACTTGATTTAGCATTCGGATTGATATTCATTCTTTATTCATATAGGAAGGTGGCAAACATCCCACAAAAAAACTTGTCAGTATCAAGGTAACGGTGTGGTTCAGGACAAACCTTTATTAATGCATGAGATTTTGGTTACAAAAAGTGCTTCAGTCGCTGGTAACGACTTGACTCGAGTTTCTGTTGTTGGATTAAGTGAGAGCCGAAACCAAGGCTCTTTGCTACGCTCTATAAATATTTGTACGATTTTTATGAATTTTGGGTGTGTTTGAATTCAGCCTCTCGTTAAGTCTTCATTGAAAGATTGTACTCGTATCCCTGAGGGCCAACCCCTTTCTCTCTCCTCTGGTTATCTTACTACATTGCCTCCCTTGAATCCTTTTTCCAACTGTGCTTTTACTCTATCAAAAGCTAGCTGTTATGGCACCAATGTTCTTGTTGAAATTAACAGGATATTTAAAAATTGTCGAAGTATATGAAGGAATGGCTTGTATGGGTGCCTTAATTGGACGTTTTCTTTAAGCTCGGTTTAGCATTTTCACAAGTTTTCTCTTTCATCCTGCCCAAAGCTTGTCTCTTTGATCTTCTCCATTCGGTGCTGATGTGCCCAAAATTAACTGGGTCAGGCCCAATAGATTAAGTAGGCCCAAGTCAACTAAAGAGCGATCCAAGCCTACTTTGCCAGTCCAACTCAGTTTAGGATCTAAGAAGTTCGGAGAGATAAGAACACATGGGAGAAACTATCGGCATACACACTCATGGAAATCCAATCCTAACTTGCTTGTACTTACCAAATGGAATAGTGCCCTCTCCCTCATGTCACCGCCTCTCCATACTTATATAATGTAAGCCCTCTCTACATAGAGGGCATGACCTTGAGGCCTCTACACTTTGAGATCTCTACACATACTACACCTCCCAACACATATTGCTTCTCTCTCCTCACTATTGTAATACTCCAGAATATACTCTCCTGGAGACTTTATTCATCAATAAAACATCATCCGCCACCGCTGTCGTTCCTGAAAGTAGAGTAAGTTACTCGAACTGAACCACTATAAATCTGTGTGTTTTGCTTTTATTTACTATTTTGTCTTTGATTGTCTATTTATTGTTCATTAATTACACTCTTACATATACTCGACTATTAATTTTACACAATACCAATTTATGCATCATCAAATGACAACCTAGGAATTTCTCTATTCTCTAAAACATAAGAAAAATATTTATTCGGGTTCATGTGTAGACCAAATACTTGGTATTACTGATTCACTGTATCTACTAGGTCATAGCAATTTGACTTTGATACCTGAGAAGACAGACCAAATCGTTTGGAAACAACAAATGAGAAACACTGCAACATATGTTATTAAGTTCTAATTTTGTGACATTACCACAATAAAAGAAATTTGGTGGCAGAGGGCCATCTTGTACATGATTTTTATTTTTCCATAATTTCCTGGTGGAATTGAAAACAAAAAAAAAGGCAGTTTTAGCCTCTTGGTTTTGTTGATTATAAGAACAAGCCTTATATTTTGTACATAAGGGAAGTTTTGGGTACTAAATTTGAAATTTTTGAGAGAAACATGGCATTGTAAAACCGACGTCAATTTTCAAGCACGTGCAATTGAGTTTCTATCAGCTCAGTCAAAATTTTTAACAAGTTTTCTTTGATCATAAAGGTTACTTATATCTCTCCAAAATATAGATATATTAGTTATAACCCGTATTTGAAGGTACGGTAAAACATAAAATTTGATTGCTTAAAAAATTAATCCTACTTTACTAAATAATAATTTTTTATTTCTTCATTTATTTGATTACATCATTTAAAATTAATTTCTATCGATTATTTTTTTAAAAATAACATCAAATTTTCTCAAAATGTATAACTCGATAAATTTTTTTCAACACGTGTACATTATTGTGTATGAACAATGTATGAAACAATAATTATGTTAAATTACAAATTAATCAAATATTAAATGATTAAACATGTGATAAAATTGGGTGATGGAATAATTTTTTTTTTGGGGGGGTGAACTATGTTTGAGATAAAAATTCAAACTCCTAGGTGTTTTATTATATATATAAATACATAATGACACAAATATAGATATATAGATAAATAATGTGTTTCAAAAACAACTCACCGGAGAAAATAAAAATTTCTCTTTTTACACAACCAACATGGGTAACAATTGATACAGTTATATACTAAAAGTTTGTCTTTTTATAATGAAATTCAGTTTATTATGTAAAGAAATTTCTATTAAGAATTTGTATGAGCAAAATGTTTGTATTATATCAAATATACGATTTATACGCAAAATATCAGATTACTAAATTCTTATATGATATAAGAAAAAGTTCATAACCTTAGATGGAATTAAATATACTATCAGCGTGATTATAATGAAATCTTCTAGCATAATTTTTCTTAACTATAGGAGACTATTTAATGTTTTCGATTGTTGTACTAGTACATTTATAGTGTATTGAACAAGACCATTATTGCGGTTTTTTTTTTATTAGTTAAATAAGAAAATAAATACTTCATAGTTATTATGATTGTTAAACTAATAATCTTGAGATATTTAATTGACATGTACATATAATAATTATTACTTTAATTCATCAAATAGTGAGATTTATATTTGAAGGCATATGAGATCAATAATAAATTTTTAGTACACTAACTTATTATTAATGTACCGTATGATATTTATTCTGGGTTGGATATAAGATTCATAAACTCATTAAAAGCTTGACTTTTATTTCTACTTGGGGTCTCTACTGTAACTTATAAATTTACACTCTTGCTTGTTCTCTTAGTCATAACATTTACGGTCATAATTAGAGAGAGAGGTGCGAGAGAAGAAAATTTGGAGGTTTACAGTTCACACTACATTCAAATTATGATGTGGAAGAATATACGGTAGAAGATCATGAGGTGCTACGAGTTTGCTGTTTGATCTGTATTTGTCTTCCTTCGTACGAATCTACTAGTACAAATCCACTAGTCAAAGGTAAACTCTAATTTTGGAATAAATTTTTGTAATCAATTATACACGTCATCAACGAATCTTGGAACTACGGTTCCAACAATCACAAAAGACACATGTCACACTCTTAACATGCGTTATTATTAATCAAATAAGTAACTAGATAACATAAAAACATATTACATATTGATTTGCAATATTCAGTCTATTGGGGGCGAGATATTATAAATTTTCCCTCACGATTAAATACATGAGTTTCTGTACAATACTTCAAAGGGGTGAATATGTTAATTAAAATTTCGTTTGGATAACCACCAATTTTAACTTATATCTATTACAATTACCTCTTCACAAATTACTTTAACAATTAAGTATGAGAACCGCTTAATAAGAACATAACATCAAACGCACAGTGCACGTGTGTGTTTCAAAATGAAAGTGTGTATGAAAATAAACAATATGAATAGAAATAATTTGTTGATATGGAAACTCTTCTCTGGAAAAACCATAGAAAACTACTCATGCTTCACTAAAGTTTAATCCACTATTCCAATGTCAATTTACAAGTACTTGATTTTTATATCTTAACCAATATTATTGTTAGACGTTTATTTCCTTCAATTTTTTTCTTTTTTTTTAAAGTGGGAGTAGAGAAGGATCAGAGTTCTTTCCATTAATAGATCTCTCCGTCGAAACTCTTTTCGACATTATGGATAACTTTACTTGAACTGCCCGTCGCATGATTCGTTTAGATCTCGGGCAATGAGATAAGATACATGGTATTTTTAGATAAAATTTTTTAGCAAATTTGGCTACTCAGTTGCTATTTTGGACGCGTGTATCATACGAGCCATTAAATATGCGATACTTGTCTTGTTTTGCATAAAAAAAAATTGTAATTCAGGAAGGTTTAGTGCAAAAAATTTAAATTTGAGGGAGGTTCTCCACCACACACCCAAAGAACAGAGGGGATTTTTGTATTTAATATTTTTTTTTTAACATGTTGGTCACCTATTTAAACCATCTCTTTCTCCGACTACACATATTCTCTCTCTTTTTTGGATAAATTCCATAAATGCCCCTTAACTATATAGTCTTTATTTTATATTACCCCCTCAACTTTCAATTTTTTTAATTTATCCCCTTGAATATTTAAACTATTTTAATCACCGCCTTTTTGTTAAAATCAACCATTAAATTAGAATGAAACCCAAAATATGACCTGCACATAGCAATTGGTGGGGGGAAGGGGGGGCATT